TATGATATTTATAATACCAAGATAATCCTTTTGAAATAAAGTCAATATGAGATTGAGTTATGATGAATCTGAGAAGAATGGTCAAGTTTCTGTCAGTTAAATGCATAATCTTACTAGCCTCTATGACTTTCTGGAGTGACATTTCACTTAAAAGCATCACTAATCTAATAATCAAGCAATGATAATATAAAATGTATTGAACTGGTTGCATTGGCTTATTTTGTCTTTATCTGATTTATGTTATCTAGAAACATCAACAAAAAAGTGTTAAATAAACACGTTGATATTTATTTAAAGGTGGCAATATTTTAATGATCATAATAATAAGATAAATTATTGCATACAGCACTTTAACTTTCAAAACATTAAAATGTTTCCTATGTCTTTCTTTTTTTATCTTATAGCAATTCCATGAGATTTGGAAGACATCTATTCTTGTGCAGTAATTTCAAGTTCATTGTTTGAAAATGGTTCAAAGCCGGGTTCGATGGCTCAGCCTGTAATCCCAGCACTTTGGGAGGCTGAGGTGAGTGGATTGCCTGAGCTCATGGGTTCGAGACCCACCTGGGCAACTTGGTGAGACCTCATCTCTACAATAAAATTAAAAATTAGCTGGGCGTGGTAGCGCACGCCTGTAGTTCCAGCTACATGGAAGGCTGAGGCAGAAGGATCACTGGAGCCCAGCAGGTCGAGGCTGCGGTGGCCGGGAGCGGCCACTGCACTCCAGTCTGGGCGACAGTGAGATCCAACTCAAAAAAAAAAAAATTCCATGATTTGTGAATAGGAGCTATTTATTAAATTACCAACAGCAATCTAATTCCTTTATGCTTGACCTTTATTTATATGCAGGCTATAGAAATTAATATATATAAACCAGGTAATGCAAAGGACAAAAAGTTCATAAACTATTTCCAAATGTATTTGACAATAATAGAGTAGAACTGTAAGAATTAAAAGCATCAAACTTCTTTGTAGCAAAGAAAACATCAAATTTGTTTACATGGAGGTCAAGTATTAGCCTATTTTTCTTCCAGGAAAAATCTTTGTTTCTATGCCTGAAGATGTGGAGTTATATAATGCAGTGCTTACTTGAAACAATCATCTCATCGATTCCGAAACATAATAGTCCAGAAAGTCTTAGGGCCAATGCAGGAAGCTGCGAAAATGTCAACTCATGGGACTTCTTTTCTTGCTCATATTATATATAGTAGGTCATGAATATTCACCAAAAATCATCTAAATGCTAAACATTAGAGCATAGCTGATTTTAATAGTTTCTATCTTAAAGTTTATTTAAAAGCATGTTCATACTGAAAAAAAAATGTATTTATATATGTACATATATATATACATATTTTTTTTTCTTTAATCAGAGTCTCACTCTGTCGCCCAGGCTGGAGTGCAGTGGCATGCTTCTGACCACCGCAGCCTTGACCTGCTGGCTGGAACTATAGGCACGTGCTACCATGCCCAGCTAATTTTTTTAATTTATTGTAGAGACAAGGTCTCACCATGTTGCCCAGGCTGGTCTCAAACTCTCAGGCTCAGGCAATCCTCTGTCTTGGCCTCCCAAAGTGCTGGGATTATAGGCTTTAGCCACCATGCCTGGCCTGAATGCATATTTTTCAGTAGAACCTAATATATATAAATTGAGACAAGAGACAGGGAGAAAGGGTCTATGAAAGAGAATAAAAAGGCATAGAGAATTCAACTATGAGTGTTTATTTATGAAAGAGAATAAAAAGGCATAGAGAATTAAACTATGAGTGTTTATGAAAGAGAATAAAAAGGCATAGAGAATTAAACTATGAGTGTTTATTTATAACACTCCTTTTATTTATTTAGATTTAGATTTAACTTTTATTTATATGTTTATTTACTTATAACTCCTTTTACTATATTCTGTTTGCTAGCAAGTAAGCTACTTCTTTGTATAGGTGTCAGACTGTTTTGGTTGATACTGGCTACTCGGTGTCAGAGAGTTACACTGTTTGTACTTGTTCTAGATGAAATCAGTTTTACCTAGCATCCTGTTTTGGGGGAAAGCTTTCAGTGGCTTCTTTTGTTTTCAGATGATGAAGAAGTTACACCAGCAAGAGATGTGTCTCGTCACTTTGAAGATACTAGTTATGGCTATAAAGATTTCTCTAGACATGGGATGCATGTTCCCACATTCCGTGTCCAGGTAAAATGGCAGCTTGCTGTATTCACATGATTGACTAGAGATAGTTCGATCTGACTTAAAATAAGAAAGACCTGGCTAGATTTGAGAACTATGCTAAGTGCTTTGCAAACAGTGTCTCAGGAACAACAGCAGCTGTATTATCCTCTAGTTCCAGAAAAAAAGCTGAAAATCATCAACTAACTAGCAAATATTAATTCTGTGCCTAATTTTGTAAGGCTGCTTCCAATCCATCAGTAGAGTCATATTGTAGTTTAAATGTATGTATCTCCTAGATCATTTATTGCATAAATATTTAATTTCTTTCTTTCTTTTCTTTTCTTTTCTTTTTTTTTTTGAGTCATTATCTCACTTTGTCTCTAAGGCTGGAGTGCAGTGGCATGCTCATGGCCACTGCAGCCTCAACCTGCTGGGCTCAGGCAATCCTTTTGTTTCTGCCTCCCAAAAGTGCTGGGATTACAGGCATGAGCTACTGTGCCCGGCCTTAAACTTTTCTTTTTCTTTTTTCTTTTTTTTTTTTTTTTGAGTTGATGTTTCACTCTGTCACCCAGGCTGGAGTGAAATGGCACGCTCATGGCCACCCCAGTGTCGACCTGCTAGGCTCTAGTGATCCTTCCACCTCAGTCTTCCAAGTAGCTAGAACTACAGGTGCTACCATGCCTGGCTAATTTTTTGATTTATTGTAGAGGCGAGATCTCACCATGTTGCCCAGGCTGGTCTCAAACCCCCAGGCTCAGGCAATCCTCTAGCCTTGGCCTCCCCAAGTGCTGGGATTACAGGCTTGAGCTATGGCACCTGGCCAAAATATTTCATTTCAATAGGTAAGCATTTAATTCAGATGAGTTGATATTCCCAAATTTCCCAATTATTATTAGGGGATGGTGTTAAATAATAACTGTTTTTACCAGAATTATGAAAATATTTGAGAACCACAAGGTTTTGTTTCTTGTGGTTAGACACAAGGATGAGTTATAGAATATGTATTTTTACTTGATAGTTAAACCGTGTTGTGAAATAAAATAGATTAGAAATTAAAGAGATCGTGTGGGCTGGAAATTATATGGAGTAAGATTAGGATGTGAAGGATTTGGATGGTCAGAAAACAAGGGCACTGTCACAGCAACTGAGCTTAGGTTGAGGGACAGAGTGAGGGAGGGTCCCCAAGAGGCTGGCTGGCAGCTGAGAGCTTCCAACAAAGGGTTCCTGTTTCTGATTAGTGGTAATTCAGTTAAAATTTGGTCAGGTGTCCTTTAAATGCCCGATTTAAATGTCCATTCGAGTAAATGGGGTTGATAGGCTTTTGTTTTTCTTTTTCGAGTTGGAGTCTCACTCTGTCACCCAGGCTGGAATGCAGTGGCACACTCACGGCCACCGCAGCCTTGACCTGCTGGACTCAGGCGATTCTCCTGCCTCAGTCTCCTGAGTAACTGGAACTACAGGCGTGTACCACCACATCTGACTAATTTTTGGATTTATTGTAGAGACAAGGTCTTGCCAAGTTGCCCAGGCTGGTCTTGAACCCCTGGGCCCAAGCAATCCTCTCACCTCCGCTTCCCAAAGTTCTGGGATTGTAGGCAGCTATATGAGCTACCGCACCCAGCTGGTTTGTAGGCTTTGACCAGAGTGATGGCATAACGTCCAGGAGGTATTTTAGGAAAACAGATATGGGAGCAACATAGAAGTGGAGGTGCTTATTACGTTTTCTTTGAGGTAGAAAGAAAGGAGATGAGATTTAATACAGGAAGACTCATTAGGACACTCAGTTAAGTAGGGCCAAAAGTCAGAAGGGGATAGGAAGGGAAGGAATGGGTGATGGACGTGTTGAATTAAAAACTCACAAAATGGGAAGATCGTTTGATTGGCTGCAGCAATGGAAAGAAAGAGACTGCCCAAGACGGGTCGCCTTTGGAGGCTGAGTGCAGAGACACTCAGCCTAAAAATCCGTGACCAGGGTGTCAAGGGAAGAGACTGTTGGCTTTTAAACTTGCTCAGTTACAAAGCACAACCTTTTGCAGTATGTGGAAATTGCAGCCATACGACTGGTGAGCCAGAGGGGCTGGGAGCCGGGGCGGGGGTGGGGGAGGAGGTTGCACGTGTGGATTCCAGCTGCCATGGTCACAGAGCTTAGATGGAGCACAGTCCTTGGCCACATGCTAGTAACTCACACTTGCTCTGTTCCCTGTATTTAGGACTACTGCTGGGAAGACCACGGTTACTCCTTGGTAAATCGCCTGTATCCAGATGTGGGACAGCTGATTGATGAAAAGTTTCACATCGCTTACAATCTTACTTACAATACAATGGCAATGCACAAAGATGTTGATACCTCAATGCTTAGACGGGCTATCTGGAACTATATTCACTGCATGTTTGGAATAAGGTTAGTATGTTGTCCTGTGTTTATAGAGATGTTCTCCTCTGGGCTAGATCTCTCAGGTGTCTAGAACACACATCCACATAGATTACATGTGCTCACAGCCATCTCCTCCCCAGTAACTTATTTTTATGCTTCAAAGAATCACTTTGTTGCAGCTTAGTTTTCTTCCACTCTCCTAGGGAGGCAGGAGGGAGAGTCAGGGACTCTAACCGGAGTTTAATGACTGCTGCCTCCAGGAAAGGGAGAACAAAAGGACACAGGGGAAGAGGCAATTTGTCACTGAGCATCTGCGGCATCTTCTCTCTCCTGACATGCCCATGCTTCTACCTCCCTGGAGCTCGGATTCTTGAATAGCCCCCCTGGCTGGTCTCCAGCCCCTGCCTGCTCCCATAATACTTAATCAAAATACAAAGCTCCCATGTTCTTTTTTTTTTTGAGTCAGACTTTCACTCTGTCACAAAGGCTAGAGTGTGGTGGCATATTCATGGACACCACAGCCTTGACCTGCTGGGCTCAGGTGATCCTTCTGCCTCAGCCTTCCAAGTAGCTGGAACCACAGGCACATGCCACCATGCCTGGCTAATTTTTTGATTCGTTGTAGAGATGAGGTCTTGCCAAGTTGCCCGGGCTGGTCTCTCGAACCCCTGGACTCAGGCAATCCTCCTAAGTGCTGGGATTACAGGTGTGAGCCACTGTACCCAGCTGCTTCCATGTTCTTACTGTGAGGTTTTCAGCCACGCTATGTTATGTGGGAAATGCAGCCATTATACAAACTTCCTGCTGCAGGGCTTGCTGGTTCCTTTAGCTTTAGAATCCAGCTTCCTCTTGCTTTTCATTTTGTTAGTGACTCTGGGTGGAACCTATAGACCCTATTTAATCTACTCTTAATTGCTCTGGCATTTAGGGCGCTTCTGAGCAACTTGAATTTCCCATTCATCAGTGGCTAGACTGTTGACTTCAGCTTACCTAATGGTTGTGGGACCAGCTTTGTGAGCACTTTCCCCTGGAAACTTAGTAGGAGATTTCAGTGTGCCCTGGAATCCATCACCACTGGACAGAGCAGACACTGTGCCACCATCTTGGCTTAAGGTGGGACAGCCTCTCCTAAGTGTAGACACTGTGAGGCCATGTGGAAACCGTCCCTCATCCTCCACCCCTGGCCTCTGTTCTCATCTGACCCCAGAAACTCTAGAAACATGAGTAAAATCATTATTTTTATTTACACAAATCAAGTACAATTTATATACCATATAATAGTTCCAGTAGCTGGGCGGCGTGGCTCACGCCTGTAATCCCAACACTTTCAGAGACTGAGGCGAGAGAATCACTTGAGCCCAGAGGTTCGAGACTAGCCTGGGCAACATGGCGAGATCTGTCTCTACAATAAATTAAAAAATTAGCTGGGCATGGTGGCTCACGCCTGAAGTTCCAATTACTTGGAAAGCTGAAGCGGAGGGATCACCTGAGCCCAGCAGGTCGAGCCTGCGGTGGCTATGAGTGTGCCACTACATTCTAACCTGGGTAACAAAGCAAGACTCCAACTTAAAAAAAAAAATAGTACCAATAACAGATATACTTGATTGATTTCTTAATTTTGGCAATACTCAAATTCTGTCTTTATTCCTCACAGTGTGGTTGCTTGTTTGTGATTGTAAATATACACTATTGCTGGGTACCAGTGCTACGATGTTAATATTGTTGGCTTTCGGGAATTATCTTAGGCCCTAGACAACGGTGTTTCTCTCCCTAAGTACTCTCTTCTTATTCATTTATACTCTCCCACCCAACCCCAGTTGTGAAGCTGTGTCATCTAGGGGGACATCTGCCCACATAAAAAGGGAAACAATACAGCATTTGTGACTGATATGTCTATTTCTATAAGAAGAAAACAGATTATATACTGAAAATATTGTCATTCTCACTATTTCATTTAATAGATATGATGACTATGACTATGGTGAAATTAACCAGCTGCTGGATCGTAGCTTTAAAGTTTATATCAAAACTGTTGTTTGCACTCCCGAAAAGGTTACCAAAAGAATGTATGACAGCTTCTGGAGGCAGTTCAAGCACTCTGAGAAGGTACGTGCCTGTTGAGGCTTGTTTATTCTGTAACTTAGCAGTCATTCTTAGTCTCCTTCACCTAACACAATGACCCTCAGACCCTTTCCGTCACCCCTATTGACCCAAAGAACATTCCAGGACAGCTGCCTCAGGTACCTCCTTGGAAGGGAACCTCATTCATGGTGAGAGACTAAAAGAATAAAGGTAGCACTGGGCATGGTGACTCACACCTGTAATCCCAGCACGTTGGGAGGCCAAGGGGAGAGGATTGCCTGAGTCCAGGGGTTTTAGACCAGTCTGAGCAACTTTGTGAGACCTTTGTCTCTATAATAAATCAAAAAATTAGGCGGGCAAGGTGGTGCACACCTGTAGTTCCGATAACTTGGAAAGCTGAGGCGGAAGGATTGCCTGAGCCCAGCAGGTCGAGGCTGCGGTGGCCATGAGCATGCCACTGCACTCCAGCCTGGGCGACAGAGTAAGACTCCAACTCAAAAAACAAACAAAAAAGATTAAAGACAGAGAAGGTAGGGGCTGGGCCGTCTGCCGCAGTGCTGGCATGGCTCTCATGTTCTGTACATGTTCTTTTTGACTGTGTATTGGTAGAAATGACTATTCTCTTTGAAACATCTTTATAGAAATGACTGAATAATGATTTGGTAGGGAAAGTTGATATTCCGATAAAGCAGTGTCTAGGTGTTCTGAAATATAACAAGCCTCCAAGAGATGGGATCAAAATGAAATGAAAGCTCAAGCCCTCTATTCGGAAAGAACATCAGGTACTTTTGGTTTTGAGAAATTGATATTCTGTTCAGCAAACCCAAGACTTCTGAGTTATTCAGCAGCATTCAGAAAAAGTACTTACTTTTTGTGTTTCTTCGCTGCACTGAAGAACTGTGACTGTAGATGCTCATATAACCCCTTCCATGATGTCGTGTTTTATCCTCAGGTTCATGTTAATCTGCTTCTTGTAGAAGCGAGGGTGCAGGCAGAACTGCTGTACGCTCTGAGAGCCATTACCCGCTACATGACCTGATGCGTTGCCTCCCTTAAAGATGATTCTGGAATGTTCCGAAGACACAGTCTACAAGGGGAAGTTACTAAGCCCCAGGACCAATGGTAGACAAAGAATTCGGAAACCCACTGTGCCATGATTCCTTTAGTTTCTGCTGTCGTACTGTGGAACTGGCCACTGCTGGCACCAGCGGTGAGTGCATGGCAGCTTGCGGTCCGGAGCTGTGAGGAAGGGCTGCCGTTCACAGTGTTTTGCTTTTTGACAGTACAAGGTGCTGTGTAACTGTTCTAATACAGCACATAGTAACTCTCCAAATCCTGTTGCTTTTATGTCAAATAAGATAACAAGAGTTGGAGCATGCCAAGAAGGGGACATGGATGGTGACTTAAGCTTTATACGTAAAGGAGTTTAGAAGATCTTGGTGCTGCTATCTCCTGCTGCGGAATGAATAGATGGCTGTTTCGGTTAAGCTGTTAGTAATAAAAGTGAACACTGCTACTATCTGAGCCTACCTACGTAATTCGTGTGGTTTCAAATTAAACTCGCATAAGTGTTCATTTTTTTGGTAACTCAAAAAGCATAGAATTACTACAGCTCAGCAAAGACCATTCGGAGTGATAACAGTTCATTTCTTTCATGACTTTTTTTTTTTAATTCAGAGTTATTGGAGGATATTCAATTACAGTGGCATTCTTAAAGATTTTTCTGGCTGGACGCAGCAGTTCACGCCTGTCATCCCAGTACTTTGGGAGGCCGAGGTGGGAGGATCGCTTGAGCCCAGGAGTTCAAGACCAGCCTGGGCAACACAGGGAGACCTCGTCTCTTAAAACTATATATATAAATAAATAAATGAAAAGGTTTTCTTCCATCTTAAGTGAAAGTGTGTAAATGATAAGAACTGGCTATCTTTTGATAGGCTGTTTCACAAGATTCTCTGACACTGGAGGGCCACTGTCTTGTGCGGTATTTTTGTCGCTGACACCCAAGCTGTGGGACATGTTGCTGGAGACTGCTGCGCAGTTCCAGGTGTGACTGTCCCCCTGCTCCTGCCTGCCTCGCAGCCCCTACTTTAAAGGTTTGCAGCTCCTTAAATAATAAAGCTGGAAAGTATTTTTTAGTCAGGTTATCAAATTTGATTTACAAAAATGCTATCTTTGTTTGAAATGCAAACGGATTTGAAAAAGTATATAAGTACTTTGTATTCTGGAAGCGTGAATTGCTTTTGAAGTCTGTCAGTATTATTGGTATTTTTCAATAAAGAATAATTTTTCTCCAATTTTATTTGCTTTCTCAATCTCTTAAAAACTCATGACCTTACAATCAGCAGCAGTTCTGATTTTCTACCTACTTTCATAAGCCAGGTAGTCTCACACTCAGATGATGCTGTAGTCTGAAGAAGCTGCCATTAGGTGACAAAACCCTTAAAGCCATTTTGAAAGATTGCAAAAAGGAGTGAACCTTCTTCAGAGTCTTATCTAAGACCATTTTTATCTTGGAAATGACGAATATGGTCCCATGCCTGGTCCCTTTTGAACTGAGGTGCTTTAGAATTCAAATAGAATTTTAAGAATTATTAGAGGCCAGACATGGTGGCTCATGCCTGTAATCCCAGCAGTTTTGGGAGGCTGAAGCAGGAGGATTGATTGAGCCCAGGAGTTTGAGACCAGCTTGGACAACATAGTGAGACCTCGTCTCTACAAAAATTTAAAAAATCAGCCAGGCAGGGTAGCATATGCCTGGAGTCCCAGCTACTCAGGAGGCTGAGGTAGAAAGATGACCTGAGGCCAGGAGGTTGAAGCCACAGTGAGCCATGAATGATTGTGCCACTGCACTTCAGCCTGGGTGACAGAGTGAGAGCGCCCCTAACTAAAAAAAAAAAATTATTAGAAACAAGGATTCATGAGGCACTGATGACTACAGAACAAAAATGACACTTTATCCGATGACTAGAAATAGCTTCAAATTCAATTGAAGCTGTTGTGATAACTCTTGAGAGTTGGAGTCTCACTCTGTCGCCCAGGCTGGAGTACAGTTGCACACTCGTGGCCACTGCAGCCTTGACCTGCTGGGCTCAGGTGATCCTTCTGCCTCAGCCTTCCAAGTAGCTGGAACCACAGGTGCGTGCCACCATGTCTGGCTGATTTTTTAATTTATCGTTGAGATGAAGTCTTGCCATGTTGCCCAGGCTGGTCTTGAACCCCCGGACTCAGGAAGTCCTCTCACCTCTGCCTCTCAAAGTTCTGGGATTACAGACGTGAGCCCCACGCCTGGTGTGATAACTCCATTGCTCCTCAAAACATTTGCTGATCTCAGTCTAGTGCCTACAAATTTGGGGGATAAGGTGGGTGCAAGTGGGGGTTGGGAAGGCTTCATTTTGAATAGTGTGGTACCTACGCTCAAGGATCAGACCTGAATGAGAAGACAAGACTATCACCTTAGATAGGAACAGACTGTTGCTGTTAACTTCAGCAAATATTTAACGAAATTTGTAAGTCATTTTCTAGTTCTAGTTGTGATAAAGCAAGATCACTTGGAATGCATTATCTTAGTCCATGGGAGCTTGTAAATACTTAGAAATCAGAAGATGCAATTAAAATTTTAATGAGTAAAAAAAGTGTGCTTGGTCGGGCACGGTGGCTTATGCCTATAACCCCAGCACTTTGGGAGGCTGAGGTGAGAGAATTCATGAGCTTACAGTTCGAGGACAGCCTGGACAACTTGGCAAGACCTCCTCTGTACAGTAAATCCAAAAAGTAGCTGGGTGTGGTGGCGCACACCTGTACTTCCAACTACTTGGAAGGCTGAGGCAGGAGGATCATCTGAACCCAGCAGGTTGAGGTTGCAGTGGCCATGAGCATGTCGCTGCACTCCAGCATGGGTGACAGAGTGAGACTCCAGCTCAAAAAAAAAAATGTGCTTATACCTAAAGTAATAAAAGTGCATGTGATACACAGTTAGTGTTTCAAGGCCTCCCATTTCACAGGTGCTTCCTGTTACCAGAATGTTTTCTCTAAACTAAACACACAGGGTTTTACTATAGTCTTTGAAATGAATAGTTTCCAAAATAATTGGGGAAAGTAGATTAAGGGATAGCCAGACCTTTCCCCACTAGAGGAAATTTTTTGTTCCCAAAGTAATCATGAAAAGATTTCTGGTTGAGGTTCCCAGGATTTGATTTTTTAAATTAGTTTTTTGGCAAAATTTGGGAAACTTTTTTACTAAGCCAAACATAAGTCTCTCTTACTATAAGACTGGGATTAATTTTGATATGACCACTGGTACATAAGTAGATAAATAATATGTGTTGGTTAAACAGCTTTTCATCGATACAGTCTGAAAGTTCATTAGAATATCTAGACATGTGGAACCCAAGGGATAGTAAAGGTGAGCAGATAGGGAGCCATGTTAGCAAGACGGTGCCCAGGGCGCTCTCTGTCCTCATACTCCCGGAAAGACGAGGTAACCACAGTCTGTGGTCCAGCATACCTCTGGGAGAGCTCTAAGGAGCCAGTAAGAAGCTGCAGCACTTAGGCAAATGCAAAGCCAGGAGAATGCTACACTAAAACAGGTAAGGGACTGTGTGGCCTTTGACTCACCCAAGCTCCTGCCCAATTCCCAGCTTTGCCCTCAGGAAAGAAAGGAAAAAAGTAGAATTTCTTTTTTTTTTTTTTTTTTGAATCGGCCTCACTCCGTCGTCCAGGCTGGAGTGCAGTGGCACACTTACAGTCACTGCAGCCTCCACCTGCTGGGCTCAGGCGATCCTTCCACTTCAGCCTTCCAAGTAACTGAGACTACAGGTGTATACCACCATGCCCAGCTAATTTTTTGACTTATTGTAAAGTTGAGGTCTTGCCAAGTTGCCCAGACTGGTCTTGAACCCCTGGGCTCAGGCAGTCCTCTTGACTCAGCCTCCCTAAGTGCTGGGATTACAGGCATGAGCTTGCACACCCAGTCAAAATAAGTAGAATTTCTGTTTAATGTTCAGGCTTGTCTTGGGGTGCCTGAGGGCGTGGTTTCCGGTAGAATAAACAAATTCAACAAAGTTGATATAAAATGAAAATACAAACAAGTTGCATTTCTAAGCACTAACAATGAGCAATCAAAAAGAAAATTAAGGAAATGATTCCACTTACAATCGCTTCAAAAAGAAGAAAACACTCAGAAATAAGCATAACTGAGGAGACATGCTGTGGTCCATGTGCCCCCTGCCCCATTCATATGTTGAAACCTAGTCCCCTTTGTGATGGTGTTAAGCAGTAGAGCCTTTGGGAGATGGTTCAGAGGGCTGAGCCCTCATGAACGGGATTTGTACCCTTATAAAAGAGGCCCAGAGATTCCCCCTTTCCACCATGTGAGGACACAGCTGGAGGGAGTCATCTATGAGGAAGAACTCCTTTACTTAGACACCAAATCCTTGATCTTGGACTTCTCTGCCTCCAGAACCGTGAGCAATAAATTTCTGTTATCTATAAATTACCCAGTCTAAGATACTTTGTTACAGCAGCCTGAACAGACTAAGACAAGAAATTTATCCACTGAAAACTGTCAAGCATCATGGTAAGAAATTAAAGACACAAAAGAAATGGAAAGACATCTCTTGTTCCTACAGTGAAAGACTTATTGCTGTTAAGATCACCTGACATGATCTGTAAATTCAATGCAGTCTCTATCAAAACCTCAATGACATTTTTTGCAGAAGTAGAGGATTCCATCCTAAAATTCATCTAGAATCTCAGGAACCCTGAATAGCCAAAAAAATCTTGGAAAAAGAACAAAGTTGAACAAACTTCCTAATTTCAAAACATATTGCAAAGCAACAGTAACCAAAATGGTACTGGCATTAAAAACAAATATATAGACCAATGAAATACAAAAGAAAGCCTAAAAATAAACCCTCAAGTATATATGGTCAAATGATCTTTAACAAGGGAGCCAAGACCATTCAGTGGGGAAAAGCCCTGTCTGTTCAGCAAATGGTGCTCGGAAAGCTAGATATCCACATGCAAAAGAATAATGTTGGACCCCGGCCCTTTATACAATTAACTCAAAACAAAGACCTCGGTGTAAGAACCTAAAACTATAACTCCTGGAAGAAAACTAGGGAAAGATTTCATGACATTGGATTTGGTAATGACTTCTTGGATATGACACCAAAAGCATAGGCAACAAAAGAAAAAGTAGACAAATGGAGTTATGCTAGACTTTAAAATGTCAGCCAGGCACAATGACTCATGCCTGTAATCCCAGCACTTTGGCAGGCTGAGGTGGAAGAATCGCTTGAACCCAGAAGTACCAGACCAGCCTGGGCCACATAGTGAGACTTCATCTCTACAGAAAACCAAAAAATTAGCCAGGTGTGGGCACACCTGTAGTCCCTGCTACCTGGGAGGCTGAGGTGGACAGATCGCTTGAGCCCAGGAGGTCAAGGCTGCAGTGAGCTGTGATGGTGCCACTGCACTTCAGTCTGGGGGGTGAAAAAAAAAAGTCTGTGTATCAAAGGATACAAAAGAGTGAAAAAGGAACCTATGGAATGGGAGGAAGTATTTGCAGATTATATATCTGATAATGGGCTGATATCCAGAATATAGCTCCTACAACTCAACGACAAAAAAAGTGAATAACTCAATTTAAAAATGGGTAGCTAGGCGTGGTGGCTCACACCTGTAATCCCAGGCCAAGGTGAAAGGATTGCTTGAGCCTGTGGATTCAAGACCAGCCTGGGCAACTTGGTGAGACCTCATCTCTACAATAAATCAAAAATTTAGCTGGGCGTGGTGGCACGTGCCTGTAGTTCCAGTTACTTGGAAGGCTGAGGCAGAAGGGTCGCCTGAGCCCAGCAGGTCGAGGCTGCAGTGACTGTGAGCATGCCACTGCACTCCAACCTGGGCAACAAAGTGAGACTCAAAAAAAAAAATAATAATAGGCAAAGGACTTAAAGGACTTGAATAGACATTTGTCCAATGATGATAGACAAATGGCCAACAAACAAAAAATATGAAACAAAAAATATATAAAAAGATGCTCAACACAACTAACTCTTTGCACTTGGAAACATCTCATGGATCACCCATCAGCAACTCAACCACACTTTTTTTACAAAATAGCAAAAAAGGAATCATTTCATTTTAAATAGTAGAGCATTGGAACCAATTATTTTATTGTAACGATATTTGGTTTATAATGAAATTTTGGACATTGAGGAACTTATTTATAACAAAAAAAACAAAATTTATATCTTGTCTTTTTTTAATGTGTGGTAACGTGAAACAGTCACTGACACGCATTGCAGGTTCACTGATACATGTACAATAGGAATGTGCTGGACATCTTCCACCTGGTGTTTTTCTATTTGAGCAGACAGTGCAGTCCCATTTTCTTCCTCCCACATTAATAATATGTAATTTATTGTCCAGTCTGTTTTTGAAGATGACGTGGAAGGGTGGGTGTACTTGTGATGCCTGAAAACCACTTCTCAACCAATCAATCAGAAGCTTGACAAATTTCAAATGGGACATAGGTTTTTCATTGTTTTTGAGTGGAAAACTTCAAGGAAACACATTTTTGAAAAAATTGTGCTTGTATAAGTTTGTCCTGTATAATCACCAGCAATCTCTTTTTGTCCCCTGAGAGGGAACATCTGAGTGGTTTTCTAGATTTATGATGTTCCCTCAGAGGGGACATCTGAGTGCAAAAGGCTAATTATAAGACAAATGCAAAGCAATATTACAACAAGACATCACCTCACACCATAAATAAAAACACAAGAGTTAGTGGGGATGTGGAGAAATTGGAAATCTGTGCACTGTTGGTGGAAATGTAAAATAATATCATCACTAGGGAAAACAGTATGGAGGTTCCTCCAAAAATTAGAAATAGAATTACCATATGGTCCAGCAATCCCACTTGCTATGCACTGAATCCTACCCAAATTCACATGTGGAAGCCCTATGTGGTTTGGGGAGGTAATTAGATCATGAGAGTGGAGCCTTCGTGAGCGTCATTAGTGCCTTTGAAGGGGAGACATGAGAGAGATCGCATGAGGACAGAGCAAGAAGGCATCTCTCTGCAAACCAGGAAGAGAGCCCTCACCAAACAGAGTCGGCTGCCTCCTTGATCTTGGACTTCCCACTCCTTATAACTGTGAAGAATAAATTTTTGTTAAGTCATGCAGTCCAATCCAAGATATCACTTCTGGGTATGTACACAAAAGAATGAAAGTAAAATCTCGGAGAGATATTTGCACACCCCTAGTCATTGCCACATTCGCAGCAGCCATGATACAGAAACAACCCAAAGGTCCGTCGACACATGTAAGGACAAGCAAGAAGTAGTATATACATACGATGGATTAGTACTCAGCCCTGAAAAGGGAAGGGAAATCCTGTCACAGGTCACAATATGGATGACACTTGTGATGATATTACAA